TCCACCTTCTGACGGTGTCTGCCTCCGCGCACAAAAAATGAGATGGGCATCGCTGCCTACGCCGACGGCCAGAGGCCCGCGCATCTACATTTTTTCGCCTGACCCCATCAGTGCCGACCCAACTACACCACCACGCGCATGCCTCGCGGCGGATATGCGCAGCAGCAAGAAGGTTTCGGTTATCCCTTGAGGGTGAGTCTAGCCCTGCTCGCCAGAAAGACCCCCTCCTTCACTACAACCCATGTCTAAGCAAAAGCTTGTCGAGGAGCGAGGGGAAGAAGGGAGAATGTAAGTGTGTAGCGACAATGGAGTGGATATTACCGTGTCAATCGTTACTTTTCGGTCTCCTTGTAGGAGTGTCATGTAGGAGATATTCCTCATGGATTCCTTTGCACGGCGATCGCAACATTTGGTCGGCAGCATCATGTGACAGTTGCACGACACATGCGCGACTGCTAGCATCACATTGAACTATGCTTCGTCGTCGCAGGAGGTACCTCATCCAGTCATGGTCGTCGCGGTTGACAATAGTTCTTGGGTGGTCGATGTGTGGTCCACAGTGTTGTACTACCGCAAAAATGCCCTTCAGCCCTTACCATACTGAAACACAAGTAGTGTGTCACGACACGACGACTATCCTGGGAGTGCTAATATAACCTGAAATGTGTGTCCCGCGCAGCCAGAATCTCCTTCGCCAAGAAAGGAAATGCACAAATCCTACAAGGTGCCGCCACCACGAGTGGAGCACCACAAGACGTTCTTCCATATTTGCGTTCAAAAGCCAAAAAATCTTGAATTTTGTCTTCGCCGCGAACGTACGACTCACGGAGCCTGGGCTGTAAAAAGTATTCTTCTCTGCAGTCTCCCATCTCGAGCTGATGCCTCGAGACCGGGTCATGGCTTGGTTGGAGCGCAGATTTACGTATACAACCGGGAATATTCCGTCGAATGCCACGACGGTACGTGAAACGATCGACACGGGGAAGTATGCACGCGATACGTTCACAGTGGACAGTGTTTGCAGGGCGCTTCATCTACCTTCAACGCAACATAGCACGTCCCTTTCAGACCCGAACTACTGCTGTATCCGTTGATAACGTTATAAACTCCAAAACCTTACCGCAGGAGTGTTCTGTCTTGTGCCACTTACGGCAGGTGGCTGAGGCGATCATGTGCATTCATTGGAACAAGGTTGTTGCGAAACGCGTAACCTACCAGCAGCCAGGCAACGGCGTGGACCGCTGGATACACGGAAATGCCCAATGCCGTGCCTGCACGGGGTTCGACCAACAGCAAGTGGATTATGGTTGCCTAGATCAAGACGTCCGCGACGATGCTTGCAGGTAGGTCGTGTCTCCAGTGTATCGGTGGTCAAGTGCGGCCCACAGAGTGTACTCGTTTGTTTCCGGGTTCGCACATCGTAACGCACAAACCACGTGGATATCTCCTGTTAGTTTCTCAAGGATGCGACTCACCTGACAAGTTCGCAAAAATTGTAGTCCCATCGAATACGAAATCTTTCAGACAAGGTAGCGTCTGATGCCATCAAATGTTCCGTTGTACAGTTGTCCACAGTCTGGGCACATCGTCCCAGGCTTCCATATGGCGATCACTATTATTCCCTTTAATCCAAGTTGCTTGCTGTCTTGTCTTCAGGTGTGACGACGACCACGCTGAGTATTTGTTCCAGAATGGTGCTGTCGTACACTACTACTTCGCTGGTACTGATCCAAAGAAGAGCATCAAGGATGCATTGCTTCCACATGGAAACGTGTCCCTGTCTCACTACGATGCGGTGTTTGCCAACGACGGCAATTGGCCGAAAATGGCTGTAGACGATGTTTGTGAAGCGGCATTTGAGCTACAAGCACTTTCGGTGCCGTTCCTCTGGCTAAGTACGTATGATGGGCACGGTAGTGTCGATTTGTGGAATGATGCGCAGAAGGAAAAGTTTTCTCAGTCCGGCGCCCGATTTGTAAATGTGGGCCATATGCTGTTTGGGCTGTCGAATTTCACGAAGGGAGCAGTTGAAGATCGTGTTGATCCTCACTTTTGCCTGCCAGGCCCTCCGGATGAGTTGGGTTTCCTCTTGTTGAAGATAATTTGGGCACTTTATCAAGAGCGAGGAGCAGCAGCGTAAGTACACATTGATTTTTGGGCTGTCGAAATTCTGGAGGGGGGTGATTGGACATTTTGTTGTTTCTCACTTTTGCCGCCAGGCCCGGTAGGGGTGCTATTTGTTTTGCAAAAGAAAGCTGTTTAGAGGGATCGTGATGTGCATAGTCCGTGTGTGTGCAAAAAACAGAACATTTTGCCTGAGGGGGGGGGGGGAATACACGATAGACGTCCGTCTGTCAGTGACAGGGCTGGCCAGGCTCGATAATACGCAGGAGACTGGAGCCCATTTCATCATCTACCACCAAAATGCAATCTAAGACTTGCCCACAACAAGTAATATTCTGCCGGAGCTGTCCCAACTACTATGTTTTCAACCCTTGGTCAGTTCGTCGACATACAGCACAGCATCTGTGTAGAATATACGTGCCGCATTCAGTCATCCCCGACTTGGAGGACATCCCCGACTTCGAGGAGGGGGCTTTTTTGACCAGACGTACGTAGGCTCACGCAGCAAGACACCGGAGCCAGACATACATCCATGGACGAGGGGGGAGGGACACACGACACACACAAACACCAGACTGTGAGAGGGCGAAACGGCGAGAGCAGTGTGTGTCATATACTATACTGCTGCTGCTGTTAGCTATCGGTGAAGGAAACGAGAGGAGAGATACGCATTTGGTTGGCACTTTCGGCCACCTCTTCTTTTTGTAGCAGCGAGCGGCGGCAGATGGCGGCAGCGTCAGGCGATTTTTTTGTGGTGTTCCATTGAGCGTTGAGCTTTGTTTCACTATGTGCCTCTGAACACAAAGGTCGCCACGCCCTTGCCCGTAGAGTTTGTCCCACACTACTACCGCCCTCGCCAGGTCACCTGACTATCCAGCACAACACGGCGACGTTTGTCCACAAATCTTGATGCTGTCATGTGCATGCTTGTCTCGCTACACAAACGTTTTTCGGACCACTTCCTTCCTGCGGCCCGCATTTTGGATCTTTCTAGGCATACATAAGTCGGGTGCTTTTGCGTGCGGAGTGTGCGGGTCGCATTTATTTGAGGTGCGGGCCGCATTCATGATGAATACCACCCCCCTCTCTGTGTCAACGACGCCCCCACAACTCATGGCGCCCCCAGAACTGGGTCTCCCACACTGTCTACAGTGGTAAATGATCCATGGGTCACCCATGGTTCACCCATGTTTGACCCATGGGCATGCTCGTGGGCATGCCCCCGGGTATGGCCATGGGCATGTTCATGGGTAGCCTATGGGCAGCCCATCATGAGCAACGCATCGTGGGCAACTCATGGGCAGCCCACCATGGGCGGGTGATGGGCAGCCAACCGTGGGCAGCCCACCGTGGGCAGGGTTAAGATGTACAGCATATCCACTCTGCTACGAGTCAGCGCTGACTTGTAGCAAAGTGGATATGCTGTACATCTTTACAAAAGTAGCAGCCAACGGTGGATACTTAATTCCACAGAGCCCATGGGCAGCCATTGGTGGGCAGCCCATCGTGGGCAGCCCATGGCCACCACCCATCATGGGCTACCCACACAGACGGTTGCCCAAGGGCAGCCCACCAACTGCAGCACATCAAAGGCAACCCACCCATGATGACAGTCAACATATCATCCATATTCGTCCCATGGGTTGCCATGGGACGCACCATGGCAGGTCCAAAAAACGTCCCCATGAGGGGTTTCATGGGTACCCATGGGTTCCCGCCGTCAATGCCATGGAATTCCACTGTGCGCCCGATTGCATTCTCAGCGTTGGTACCAATACGTGCCCACGGTGATACACCCATGGTATGTAACATGAATACCACCAAGGGTACCCATGGGACATACCATGGGCACCCATGGGTCCTCATGGGAGGAATTAGATGATGTATCTAGGCATGTATGTCCCTACACCGTTGCCCGCTATAATCCGGTCCTATGCAACAACAGCGATACTCCGGTACACGTTGTGTCTTCAAGTGTGAATCAGTCCGGGATCCAGCCTCTCACCACAACCTTGTCATCGATAACGGTTATGGTCTACGACCTCTACACCTTATTCGCCTCTTCGGGCTGATGCTACGATTTGGATAATTGACGAGGAATTTCTTGAATGGGTTACCTCGGGTGAATCTTTTGACGTGCTCAATTCGTCTGTGCTCGCTTCTGTTTAGGGTGCCCGCTTTGGTTGAGGGCCTGTCCTCGACCGTAGCACCGGTAGCAAACTTGACTGGTTCCGACCGGCAACGTTTAGGGTCAAATTCGCCTGGCTTCGAATCGCCTTGTCCCGCTGTTTTCGACAGCCGAACATAATCAGATTCCGCCACGCGCATCTCGACCATGAGGCGTCTTTGCAAGCACCATCTCTTCCCACGTACGCTCACCTCAAGGCGCTTGTTATTGGGTAGGCTGGACAGTCGTCGACAGTTTTGACACCACGGCTTCGGGAGGACGATTCCGGAGCGCCCTCCCAACAGCCGGCGGCCTCACGCGCCTTGTCACACGGGAATGGCCACGAGCACCCAGGTCAGTTCATCTACTGACTCGGCGTTGGCAGCCGTTTCTAGCCAAAGTGGACTCTTGCAGCACCCCTCATGGGGCGTCATTTCAGGTCTGGAAATGGGACGCCCCAACACCATGCGGGCAATGCGACCCTGTCGATTCTTCACCAGTCCTCGCCATCGCCGGGACGTGTTCCACGCGTGTTCGTACCGTCAATGGAAACACGGACGTTTTGCCCACCACAGCTTCGGCTGCACCCCAACTTTGGCTGACAACACTCAGGGCTCTCCGGCCATTGCAACTCCGGCTGTTTTCGATCCGTCTACAGAGTATTGTATTCCAGACATGGTTTTCTTGAGGAAACCCTTTTCTCCTTTCCCCAATGTACACCGTCAACTTTTGCTGTCGATGGAGTTGCTCGCTTGTGTGCTGAGCAGTTGTTTTGCTGCGGAAAAAGTTCGTCTTTTCGAAGACCACAGAGCTGTGCACAATATCATGCTGTTATCCGACCCTGCCTTGCACAAGAAGTTTGGCCGCGACGTCCGTTGTTTCTACCAACCTATTTGGGAACGTCAGCGCAGAAACATTGTCTCACTGGCTCTTAGGCAAAATTGAGTCAAAACTCCGAGTTACGAGATCATCTTCTCGGATCTGGTCACAAAATCCTGGCCGAGGCCAGTCCCTTCGACCATATTTGGAGCATTCGCCTTCCGGCCGACGATCCCGACGCTCGATCTACATCTCGATGGCGCGGACCCAAATAGTTGGGGAACGCCCTCCCACGAGTACGGAGTACTATACGACAAAATGCCCCGTCTCCTGAGTGCATCTCTCGTTTTCTGCCTTCTGCCGATCACGTTCCGCCGTCATCTTTCCATAGCGGGGGTACCAACCCTACCCTTCCACGCACCAGCGTCTTCGGACGGATTCGCGGCCTGCATCGACTGCACGATTGGCGTCCTTTCCACATTATTACTACGCTTACAACGTTCCGTCAGATCATGACACCGCGGTTTGTGCAGTGTCTTGTAATAGATATATGGGGGGTACTCGTAGCATAGTATGACGGGTAAGATCTTCATTACGTACGTACGGAAATTGCAGTGATGACATGCGGAGGAATCAGAAGTTTCTGGGTATTTTCCTTGGAAGTGGGAAGAGTTTGACGAAGGTTCAGAGAGATCCGTTTGGTAATTTGAGCGTGATGAGCGTGACGCGTGCTTGATGCCGTGAACGATTTACGAGCGCGAGCACGCCCCCGAAGAATACAATACGTTTTCCACCACGTTTTCTATCCATCTACGGCTCGTCATGGCCGAGCTGCTCCACACTCCCAACACACAGAACTGAGCCACCCGAATTTTCGATCACGCGTATGACACGTCGCCTACGAGCTTCGCGGTCGAGCTTAGTTTTGGAGTATCGCTTTGCGGCGATCAGGAGCAGGATCAAGATGTTCGAACACGGGCGCGAGAGCGACGTCGCCCACCAGAGCAAGCACCAGCTGAGGAGGCTCGGATAGAGGAGATGATGTACCAGACGCTAGCAGCTAGGATGGCAGAGATGGAGGTATGACAACAAGACGAGCAGCGACGCACAGATGACATCCGGAGCGGGAACGAGCAACAAGGGGCACAACTACCGCAACACGCGGGGAGCCCATCGGCCAACCCCTCCGCCGATGACATCGCCAACGCGATCGCCATCGCCGTGACTGTCCGTCTCCAGACCACATCCGGGGATTTCGGTAGAGTACCGCAAGAAGGGACTTTGCGCATGACCGAGACTAGGAGGCTAGAGCCTTGGGGCGGCCATTTCAAGCCAGGGGAGGATGAGCAGGCAAGTCAAACATGCTTGCGATATTTGCACAGGAAGGTGTTTATGAGGTCATGATGAGTGATGAGGACACTCACGTTAGAAAAGATTGAGTAGACATGGCCGATCTGAAGAGAAAGTTCGGGGAGCAAAGGTGAACAAGGCGATAGCGGCGTGGAACTTGCAAATCACAACAGTGACTTACCTGCCAATCTTGACCCAGATCATCTCACATGGTAGCCCGAAGGTGGAAATTTTTCCTCGAGCACTACGAGCCCCAAGGTCGTGAAGAAAAAACACGCCTTTCATCAGAGTATCACGGTATTAGAATGAAAAACAAAGAGACTCCTCAGGAGTACTTCGGTAGGTTTACCGTTTTGCGAAACCGACTAGCCTCGTCCGGCATGACTTTTTCAGATGATGCGAACAGCCACATGGTTTTCAACCTGTCGTCCGACTATGATGTACAGAGGAGAATGCTGACCAATATGGACGTGTTGACTCGGCAGAAGATCGAGAGGGCTGTGAGGAGTACCTATGCGGACCGCTTGCACGCCCGGGAGGAGGAGCAGACGAGTGGCGTGGGGCACGCTTTCGTCGCTTCCGGTGCACCCCGGGGCGACGGAGGTGTCCCAAATGGGTCGAGTGGGAACGGCGGCGGACAGGACGGCAAAGGTGGCGGTCGGAGTAGGAGCACCGAAGCCAGAGGAAACACTCGTTCACCCGTGGGCGTTTCACACCAACACAGAGTGCGACGCTCAGAGGAAGCAGCGAGAAAGGAAGCAGCGGGCTCAGCAGCAACAGCAGCCCCAGCGGCAACAGCAGCCCCAGCAGCAACCGCAACAGCCACAGCATCAACAGCAGCCGCAGCAGTACCAGCAGCCTCACCATCAGCAAGGCGGCCGCGGTGGTGGGGGCTGGGGTGGTAGACCTCAGCACGGAATCCACGGCGGTCACGGAGCGCAGCAGCGGTATGGATACCCGGCTCCCCTCGCTCGCAGCAGCAGCATTGGCGGCCCCCGCACGGGCAAGCAAACGTAATGCACCAACAGTCTAGTGCCACGCCCTACGGGGGGCCCACGAATGGTAGCGACTATGGGAGTTGGGAGTAGCAGCAGCCACCGTACCAGCAGCCTCCGCCGGACTACACCCAGCAGCAGCAGCCGTACTACCCGCCTCCGACACCGTACTATCAGCAGCAGCCACCGCCACCTCCTCCGCCTCCGCCGACGTTCCAGCAGCAGCAGCCGTCGCAGCAGCAGCAGCACTCCACCCATGCTCCGCCCTACTCGGCTCCCCCCGGAGCACCAGCACCGTCCCCCGGCTCTCTCCACTTCTTCATGGCACGTTTTGTGCCTGCAGGCGAGATCGTACCTAGTGTTGTGGTAGCAAGTTGCGAGCGTGATGGTGGAAGAGGATTTGCTTTGGCTGCACGAAACCCGGATTCGCATTTTGGCACAGAGAGATTTTGGGCCGACAGCGGCGCCACCAACACGTTTGTAAGCAGCAGCCATCAAATGTTAGACTTGAGGCCAGTGCCGCCCGGTAAGCACTACATTCAAGTAGGTAATGTGTTGGTGACGTAAACATGGCGTTCCACATGCCCGGCCCTTCGGACGAGACCGATTATTGTGTACAGATGTCGGACGTGTACGTAGTCCCCGGCATCATATTCAACCTGTATTCCCTGCACTATACGCAGCGTAGGCAGAAGATCACGTTGGACGAACACGGCGTGCCCCTCTTCAATGGCTTACCTTTGCTTACTCCGACGTAGGATGTTCCCTGTTGGCCACTCGCTTGCCTCCGGAGTATACTCGTAGTGCTGTGGCCTACAGCCCCGATGCCCCCCCCCCGTGTTTCTGCCCACGCCTCCCCGCCTAGCGTTGGCACAGGCCTTGTCGCGGCAAATCCCCCTTTTCCACAGAGTGCAGGAGCGGGCATGACTTCGAGTGCGACTGCGAGTTCCGGTTTCCAGTCCGTCGCAACGGCCGGCGTTGTACCTTCGACTTCTGGCGTCCAGCCCACCGGAGTCGCTGCCGGTGTTGTACCTTCGTGTTTGAGTGCGAATCCGAGCTTCCAGTCCGCCGGTGGTGCCGCTGCCGGTGCTGTACCTTCGAGTTCGAGTGCGAGTCCGAGCTTCCAGTCCGCCGGTGGAATCGCTGCCGGTGTTGTACCTTCGTCTGCGAGTGCGACTTCGAGCGTCCCATCAACCACGTCCGGTGTAGTGCTTCCGCGTTGTACATTCCCGCCCATCGACGTAGATGTAGTGCCAACGATCAATGCCGACTTCCAGCCTGTAATCACAGCTGCCGTAGCATGGTATGAGATTGTTTCTCCCTCCGTCGTTCACCCGAGCGAATTTCGTGACGTCGTGATCACCCCCCTCATCCCCCAGGACCATTTTCCTCTCATGGATATGAGCATGTTCCTTGATGTAGGCCTGATGGATGGAATAGACTCGGTCCCACAGGGTGATTTTTTGCCGGATGCGCTTGATGTTCGCGATTTTACAACACCTCCTCCCCCCGCGTTTGCCGTGATGAGTGATGAATTGGATTGCCAGAGAGGTTTTGTTGCTGGATGCAGTGAGCAGCAAACCGTAGCTAACCCCTCCCTCTCGCATGCCTTGGCGATTGTCTTCCCCGGTGCTTCCCTATTTTCGGAAGGAAAATCCACGCCGACCTTTGACGTGAATTTGTTCCATGCCTCCACCGGCCATATAAACGAACTCTTGATGCGTGAAATGGCCAAGCAGCAGGGCGTACGACTGGTGGGGGAGATGCAGCCGTGTGTGGGCTGCGTGGAGGCGAAGGGCAGGCGGGCACCGGTGCCGCGGCGTGGCACCCGCGCGGCGGTACCGTTCGGCAAAGTCCACATCGACCTCACGGGTCCGTTCTCTGACGCGCTGGACGGCTCCCGGTACCTGATCATGTTCGTGGACAGCGCATCGCGGTGGCAACGGGGGTACGGGATGTGGGCAAAGAGCGACACCCTGAACTTCGTGCAGCGGTTCCTCGCCGACATGAACGGCATGGGCACTCCGGGGTGTTTCCGCATGGACAACGACGGCGAGTTCTCCGGCTCCGCGTTCACCTCGTTCTGCGACGCTGCTGGCATTCGGCGCGAGTACACCGCCCCCGACATCCCCAAGCAAAACGCGGTGGTCGAGAGCGCCATATGGCGCCATGATGGGGGGGCACGCCGTGCGCCGCCACATCCTCGCCGTAGGCCACGTCGACCCCTCCTTCATCCTCAACATCGGCGTCAACGGATATCGCCTGTGGCTCGCGTCGGCGCTGTGGGCATCCGCCTGCTTCAACCGCTCCGCGACGAAGGCCAACCTGGGCTGGATGTCTCCCTTTGAGGCGTTGTTCGGCCGGAGGCCGCCTCTCACCGTCGTCCCTTTTTTCCAGGAGGGGATGATGCGCGAGAAGCGGGCCACCAAGGCGGACGTCCAATCCGCGCGGTGCCTCTACCTGCACGGCGGCACGAACCACTCAACGACTACCGCCGTTGTTCTTCGCGCTGACACCGGTCGCCTCGCCCTCACCAACAACGTCGTGTGGGTCAACCGCCGGGCAGGGGCGCCGGCGCCGGTGCCGGGTATCGGGAGGGGTTCTTCGGTCACCGCGGCGCCCTCGCCGGCCGCCGCCGTACCTGCGGCCGATGTCGCACCGCCGGCGCCCCCGCCATCAAGGACGTACACCTACNCGCGCGGTGCCTCTACCTGCACGGCGCCAACAACCACTCGACGTCTACCGCCGTCGTTCTTCGCGCTGACACCGGTCGCCTCGCCCTCACCAACAACGTCGTGTGGGTCAACCGTCGGGCAGGGGCGCCGGCGCCGGTGCCGGGTATCGGGAGGGGTTCTTCGGTCACCGCGGCGCCCTCGCCGGCCGCCGCCGTACCTGCGGCCGATGTCGCACCGCCGGCGCCCCCGCCATCAAGGACGTACACCTACATCCCGCCTGCACCAGCGACCACCGCACCGCCGC